CACCTAGAAGGATGAGCCAGTGATTTGGGAGACCAAGAGGCAGGAAAACCATTCCACCTTCTCCAACCCATCACCACATCTGTTGCTGGAAGACATCAGGTAAACCCCAGGATCTTAATGAGGCACCATCAGGCGAGCCCTGTGGGGTGGTGGGGACATAGCTGGGTTTTCCTGAGCAGCTCTATCGGGGTGGGAGCAGGAGGACAGGAAGATGGTGACATTGGTTCATCATACCCCTAGGTCTCTGAAGGTCCAGATAGCACTGATGGCGAGCTTTGGGTCCACACACTCTGGAAAGAAGACAGAAGTGAAGGCTTTAGGTTGGGAGGACAAGGAGTCACTGGGCACATGCTTCTCTCCTCCTCTTGTTTAAAGAAGCAGCCCAGGGAGGGATAGAGCTCAGACTGGACAGAAGACCCTCTATACTTTGCAGCTCTCATTCCTAGGGTGGGCTGTCATTGTCCGGCAGGGGGCAGCAGCCACCAGCAAACACACCCCTGCCTCTAGGAAGCTTCAGACTTCCCACCCAGAACCTCCCTCAGGAAGAGGGGCAGCAGCTCAGCAATCAGCAATGACAGGGGCTGACTCCTTGGGACTCACCAAAGATCCCTTCTTCATGAGCCTTGGCCTAGAGGAACTGGAACAGCTGCTTTGTGTAACCTGACTGCAGAAGAGAGAAGACCTAGACCTGGGGCCGTGCACAGACAGAGCCTGCTTTGAGGACTGCAAGGGAAGAAGGGCCTCACCAGTATCGGGCAGCTGGCCCTGGCAGAGGAAGGCAGCAGCCTGTGTGAAAGGCTTGAGCAGTGGGCTGAGCAGGCGGCAGAGGAAAAGAAAGAAGTCTGGGCAGCGCAACTGCTCTGAGCTGGAGGGGACAGGTCGGGGTGAGTGCACCTCCCCACAGCCTCCCTACCACCTCCCTCCAGGGGCTGCTTCTTCCAACACACCCTGAAGTACCAGCCCTCGGCCTCTTCAAAATCATCACTGTCACTATCAGTAAAGTCCCCACTGGGTTTCCACAGCAGCTTTCTGCTCAATCACTGTCACCCTGTGTCACAAGCTGCCCGGGAGCCAGGGGTCTGGGGGCCGTGGAACCATTGTTCTCTGACAAGCTGGCCAGGGATCAACCCTACACCCCCAGACCAGGTACATGCAGGTGAATCCAATAAAACCAGATCTGGAGTGCCTAAAAGGATGCCCAGAGCCATGCCACACCACAGCACCTGCTGGGCCAACTTGCAGAGTCAAGAGAAAGTGAACACCCTCCCTCAACGGCAGCAGCCCTGTGGCCAAGAAATGTGTGGAGCAGGAGGTGTGCAGAGAAGCTCAGAGGCACACAGGCCAGTGCTGTCCAGACACACGCACCCAGGGCATAGGTGGCCATATCCCAAGGCCCAGGGCGCAGAGGTGCAAGCTAGGCTTCCCCACTGCAAGGCCAGGGGCTTCCCACCCCCACAGCACACACAGGGCAGAGGAGGAGCCTGTGGCAGCTGGCACTCAGGGTGGGAGGCTGGAGGAGGCCAGGCCCCAGGCAGGGGTCTTGTCTCCAACAGCCCTGCCTACCTCCTCAGCAACCAGGAGCCCACATTGGATGAGCCGGTCCAGCACCTCCTGACAGTAACAGTAGGAAGACTGGCAGGGCTAGGGAGAAAAAGGGACCCATGTGGCCTCAGTCGAGCCAGGCACGTGGGCAGGGGCCTAGCCAAAGGCAGGGCAAGGCCAGACCTACCACCCTGGAGACTTCAGAGGTGGTGCTTGGGCAGGGATGGCCATTCCTACCACCAAGAGGTGAAGGCCTAGGACCAAGTGGGCCGTAGGGGAGGCCTGACCTGCAGGAGCAGCAGCTCTTGCGGCAGCAGGTGCATCAGCAGCAGGATCTGGCGGTACAGCTCGTTCTGGCTCAGCAGCTCTATGCCCTGCAGCTCCCAGG